CAGAATGCAGCAGATAATTGGGTGTGCAGGAGGGTGTAAATATACCCCAAAATGTTCCACTCTCATGCATAAACCTGCTCCTTGCTGTTTGCAGCTTGGCTGGGCTGCTTGCAAGTTTTGATAATACCTGGAACTAAATAACAGTGGAGCATGGAATTAGTGAAGAGTGATGAGACAGCACCACCAAAGAGGCTGATCCCGTGCTGTGTTCCTGCCCAGACTACGGAGATTTGGGAAACCGAGCCCCCTTGAGTTCCAGAAGGAAGAAGAGGTTGAACAAATGGGTTCCCAAAGAAGTGGACTCTCAGAAAAGGAGACCAGGGCTGACCAGTGCAGACTGGACAAAAGGCCCTGGAAGTAAAGGGAGATCCTGGAATTCTGAGATGCATGGAGACAAACACCAGAGATGCCTGGGACAGCTTGTGGGTGAGATCAAGTAGGGTAAAAGCTCTAGACTTGTTGGATCTTGAATGAACCTCAGTATCCAAGCCCAGTAGGGGCTGTCATTCCCTGCCTCACCTGTGGCAGCTGGTGGGAATTGTCTATCAGACTTTAGCTGAGTTATACAGAGGGAGGAATCCTTGAAGGCATTTAAAATGTTGTATCTAAACTGAGGTACAAAGTCTACACTGAATTGTGCTGTGGAGCACTTCTCTAAGTAAAAGTCTTCTCAGATGAAGTGCCTGTATGAGGAGTGTCATTTACTCCAAATGCCTAACTCATTTCCAGAGGTCAGGATGTGGGAAGGTCGGTGAACTGGACAGGCAATGACTACAGAAATAGCTCTTTGCCCAACATCTACCAGATAAGCATCTTCCCTATCCTGTTTCCTCATTCTGTGCGACAGATTTTTCAGCAAGATCCAAATCAGATTGGACTAAATCTCATTTTATTTTTAATTCATTTCATATGGTTTTATTTTTAACTCGCTTTAATTGAAATGCAGTGAACGAAATTATCAATTGAAATTACTTCATCAGCTGTGAGTCTTCATTTTTAATATATAAAATAAGCTCTTAGTAAATCTGAATCACTGACTTTTCTGTTTCCTCCTCAAACTCTAGGATGCTGATGCAATGTGCTGGGTACTCAGCATTGCAACTTCCACACTCTTAACCATAAACACACTCAGGATATTGACTATTTTTTTGGCATTTGGTGATAACACAGTTCTGGGCTAAATCTTGAAACTGCAGTTCCAGGTCTAATCCTCTCCTGCCAAGTAATTTCTCTCAATGCAATAGCCAAGTGCCTTATGAATGACCTGGATGATACAATGAGCACCTTGTGCAAGTCCCCAGGTGATATGAAATGGGGAGGTGTGGTTGGCATCACCAGGTGGTTGAGCTGCCTCCCAGAGGGACCACAGAGGGTGGAGCAATGGGCCAACCTCAGGATGTCCAGCAAAGGGAAGTGCAAACTTCTGTCCCTGGGGGCCAGCCAGCTGGGAAGGAGCTCTGCAGAAAAGGCTTTGGGATTCCTGGTGGACCCAAAGTTGACCATGAGCCAGCAATGTGTCCTCACAGCAAAGGGCTCCTGGGCTGCCTCAGGAGCTTCCCCTTCCCTCAGCACTGCTCTGTGCTCTGCTGGGCTCCCAGGACAAGAGAGACATGGACTTCCTGGAGCGAGTCCAGGGAAGGGATGCAAAGGTGACAAAAGCACTGGAGCACCTGGCCTGCAGGGAGGAGGTTACAGAAGCTGGGACTGTTCAGCCTGGAGAAGAGAAAGCCCAGGGGGACCTTGTATAAACACCTGATGGAGGAGGGAAAGAAGATGGAGCCAGACTCTTCTCAGTGGTGCCGAGCGAAAGGCAAAAAGGCAACGAGAGCAAACAAACGTGGAAAATTGAGTTTAAAGATGAGAAAAATGTGACAGTGGTCAAACACTGGCACAGGTTACCTAGAGAGGTGGTGAAGTCTCCATCCTTGGAGATAATTAAAACCTGACTGGACACAGCCCTGAGGGACCTGCCATAGGTGACTCCACTTTGGGCAGGAGGGGTTGGACTCCAGAGGTGCCTGCCAACCTCAGCTGTTCCGTGGCTCTGAAAGGAGCTGGCCTCTCCACCCATTTCACCCTCACCATGTGTGGAGAGGAGACAAAGGGTAAAAAATGCACAAAATCTTTCACATAAATCACAATCCTCCCCATCAGTCCTGTTCTAGGCTTTCCTGTTAACTGCTTCTAGGATTCTCTGAGAGACTGGTGCATAGTCCTGAGATGCTTTAACTGTGCAATCAACATTTTAAAAACAGAGAAAAATATATTACCAGCAGAGTGAACCTGTTCACAAATGATGTGGTAGAAGGGAAGTATTTTGTAACTTGGTTACCATTTCTCAACTCTGCAAACTGTGATATCTAAGCAGGCATTCCACAGCCCTTCTGAGTCTCCATATTTCACTCATCTGCAGTGCTATGAAGGAACATGTCCTGCGTTTTTCAGTGCTGGCAGCCTCTTCAAATTATTTTCCTTATTTTGGGCCATTTTTAAACACCCTTCATTCCCAGCCCTTCCCTTATAAATCGATTCTTTTTCTTCAGTTGTAAATCTCCAGTTTCAAGGCAAAAAATAAGACCACATATCAAGAAAAATAACGTTAAAAGCATGCTTTTTTTTCCCCCTAAACATGAGTAAAACCAGTAAAACTTCAACCCAAAATCCCACAGCCCTTAAAGCTGTGCCGTATGTTTGTTTCCTACAAAAGGGCACCAAACTTTAAAAGAAAGATTACAATGAAATGCTATTAATCCTCTTCAACACTTTAGGTACGAAATTAAAGCCTATATATTTATATAATCTACATAAGCCTTATATATCATTTATAAATGGAATATAAAGAATTCCAGCATAGAAAGCATATGTAGGAAGAAATCCTGTCCTCTTATGCAACCGTTCCACTAAGGATGAATTACCTTCGAACGCGACGGATAGAGGGGGGATAGAGAGGGATAAATTCTACAGAGCCTCCCAGAGCTGAGCATCCCTGCTGGGCATCATCCAGCCCTGGCAAGTGGAATGTGAGCTGAGGTTCCCCGGACTGCAGGTGCTGCAGAGGCTCGGGAACTATCCCGGTCACACAGAGCTCTGTTGCTCCATTTGCAACTGAGCCCTTCTGCCAGGGAGCCTCCATTCAGAGCAGAGTCATCCCTGCCTCACCCAGGGAAGAATCCCAGTGGAAGCATGAGAGAGAGGCTGTCTGGAGCTTCAGCAACACATTTTAACGTATGAATTCGGCAAAAAAAAACCCCTCTCTGGGAGCAGATGATTCAATCCTTGGCGCTTTTTTAACCCCTTTTTTTTCAACTGACGTACTAAAATTATTCAGAGACGTGTCATTGTAATCGGGGTTGGGGGGGTTGTTGTTTGATCAGATAATGTATAATATGAATGTAATTAATCAGCCAGAAAGGCACAACAATACTTGCTAAATTCCAGTGAACTGTAATATCCTTCTTTGTCTCTCCTTGAAAACATAATGAAAAACCTGGCAAAAGGCAAGCTTATTTTTGACAAGGTTTCACAGACTGGTTAACCAAATAAACCACTTTTTTTCCCTTCAGAACCTTATTTTAGGTCCAACCCGTAAAAGTATTTACATTTATTAAAGGAGGTGTGTTGAATTTCCAGAACTACCAGCTGCTGGAGTCCTACTGCAGTGTAATGGGGTTTCAGTGAGTGGGAGAGTTACAAGGTCACGACTTCTACATTTATTGCAAAATGTACCAAGGAATTACTACATACCCAACTGACATTTGACAATATGAACTGCAGGATGAAAATAAAAAAAAAGCAAAGACACTCGTAACGTTCTTATGGATTAGCAGAATATATGCTCACATTTGCAGTATTCAGACAGGAATATATATATATATATATATTTAGCCTGATTCAAAAAATGTTGCATCCCAAATCCAACAGCACTGGAAAAGATAAGCTGTATATTTTAAATGCTGGGGGAAGATGAAACAGGAAAAAATTATCCTTCAAAGCTGTTTCCTAGATACATGATATGAAATTTTAAAGAAAAAAGCACTCACAAAAGTGACTTCATGGAAGCTCTTAACAGTATGATACCTAGTTCATCATTACCACGTCTTCTGGAACCTGGAATCCTACTGAGAAGCATGAAACTCTTCCAAGCTGCTTCAATATATATGCATGCAACCTTTTTATATATGCAGAAAGCATGAGAAGTATCAGGCAGTTTTGATTTGCAACAATAAAAAAAAAATCACCTTTTTCATGAAAATTAATGTATATTTACCATTAATGTGGGCCAAAATCAATTCTCCACAGAAAGGAAGGCAGATGTACAAAAAGGCTGAAAAGGGGGCACAGAGACACACACACAAAAAAAAAAAAAAAAGGAAAAAACTTCATGCTGCATTGCTATACACAACTTATCTACAAGCCTTATTTTATCGCTTATTCACAAACTTAGTCATTTTAGAAGCACTACAGAGAATATATGAAACAGTTCTTCACAGGTAGCAATTTCAATTAAAATGAGAGGAACATGAACAAAGTAAAACCTGTATGTGATCAAAGACCTGCTGGATACCTGAGTCAAACAGTTATTTCAGAGCAAGGTACAAGAGCTAGTCATGCATATGGATGACCTCTCACAAATTAAATGCTAATCAGGAATGCATCTCAGCATTAAAAAAAAAACGTGGACTATGAAGTAGATCTGCAATCCTTTTTCTGAGCGAAGACTAGCAATAAACCTTCATTATCAGTTTCATGCCACATACATGTAATATTAACCTCGAATCCCGGCAATAAAAGCCCAATTTCCCCATATGGAGCGTGCCAGCTATTTCCAGACATCCCAACTTGTGTAATATCTCTGCAATCCTTCAGCAGAGCCCCTCGCTGAATGCAAGCAGGAGGTCAAAGGACCCGAAGTCCTAAGGAGCACGCAGCTCTTGGGATGTAAAATGAGCAGTCTGACCATGAAAGAAGAGACCTTCCCCTTCAGCCCCTTCAATACTCACCTTCCAGAAGGTATGGGAAGCACCGGGCTAAGCATCTGCTCCTGGCTGCCTCCGTGCTCTAGGACTGCCTACAGCCATCGCCTCAGCAGCCCTGGGAACCGACGTGGAATGCACAGGGAACTGCCCCGGCTTGGATAGGACAACTTAAAGTCGGGAAATGGGAGGCTGGGGAAGAGCTCGGTGCTGCCCGGAGCGGGGCAGATGAGCTGCCAGCGCCGCAGGCGGGGATCAAACGCACAGAATCTCCCTTTACATAATCGGAAATGACTCCTGTAATCTTATGTTTTCTCTTAAAGCGTCGGATGCTTCATGAACAGCCAAAAGCTTTTCCATGCGGCATTCAGGGGATTTAGGGCTGATTCTTCTTTAAATAAAAAATAAAAAAAAAAAATAAAAGTCTATCTGTCAGAATTCTTAGTTATTGTACCTCAGAAAGCCTTTCCCCACCTTGCCATAGGAAACGTCATACATGCTTAAAAGGAATTGCAGAAAATTCCCGGTTTCTTCCACAGTATTTTCTAATCCATCTCAATAGAAAGGCAATGTTTGGGGTATTTAACCTGTGTGCCCTTTACTTTCCAACAAACACATTGAAAAACCATAAGCAGCTCTATACAGAAACCCAGTTGAGGATTACAGATCTTCCCGACATGAAATACCTTTGTCTATCATAAGAGACGTTAAACTTAAAAAAATACAACACTCAAACTGCACTGCTCACATTTTAGTGTCTTTTCTGCACCTCACTTCTGGAAAAAAAAAAAAGGCACATCCGATTCTTACCAGCAATGATAAAAGCAAAATCCCATCCACGTGTTTTCCTCATCACTAAAGCACCGATTTAATCAAAATCAAGCCCATATGCTTCAAAAAAACAAGATCATGCTGAATTTTCAACCTACCGAAGCCCAGCGAACGCTTTCTGATGCAAGAGTGCCTTTTAGCTATGCAGTTTCTCTTTGACCTTACAGAATAATCTACACGAGTTGCAGCATTACCTTTGCAGAGACTCCCAGGGCATGAACCAAAACCTAATGCATCACTCAGACTCCATCCACACCATTCCCCCCATCAGCTTGGCGTCTTCCCCCGCGCCCCCCCACCCAAGCCAGCAAAATCGCCCAATAAACAAGCTCAGAGCGGAAAGGGGGGAAAGATCTTTATTGAATCATCACCGTATTTCCCATGCGGGATGTCGCTACTTATTGGCTTAAGGTATCTCGGCCAATCCACCGCCGTTTTGGGGCTTTTACCCGGCGGAGGCGTCAGGGCTCAGGCATCGCGCGGGGCGGGAGCGGAGCGGCGGCGCGGAGCCCCTCTGCAGACTTGACACACCGCGGGGCCGGGAGGAGAGCGCGGGCCGCCGCAGCATTCCCCTGGCACCGCCCGCTGCCCCCACCGCCCGCTCCCGCGGCACGCCCCCTCCTACGGACACGGGCCCCGCTCCCACGGCACTGGCCCCGCTCCTACCGGCACGCCCGCTCCCACAGCACGCCCGCACGCCACGCCACGCACGGCACGGCCCCGCTCCCACAGCACGGCCCGCATGCTCCCACGCACGGCCCCGACGTCCATCGGCACGCGCCCCGCTTCCACAGCACGGCCCCGCTCCTACAGCACGGCCCCGCTCCTACAGCACGCCCCGCTCGGCCACGGCCCCCGCTCCGGCACGGGCCCTGCTCCACGGCACGCCCCACAACGGGCCCCCGGCCGGGAGAGCCGCCTCCGGGAGGGGGGCAAACGGGCTGAGCCACCATGTTGTTTGTTTGTGATTTTTTTAATACTTCCCTCGGGAGAATGACAAAAACGGAAGATGGCAAGCTACCAGGGATATGCCGCTCGGCTGGGGAGCGGGAGAAAGCTTCAAGGACAAGGGGCTGTCAAGTCCTGTCGCTGTCGTTTGGGGAGGGAGATGAAAGGTTGGATGGGAAGAGGGGCCTGGGAAGGAGGGGAGCGGCGCATCCCTGCACCCCCCGAGCAGGCGCAGGATGCGGCGGGGGCTTAAACCCCGCAGTGCCCGATCACTGATTCCACCCTGACAGCAACGGCAACATGTCCGTGTTGCAAATTGCTTCATAATCACCTTCTGCAAAGATAACAGCTTGCTCTCTTTTCCCTTGCTCTCTTTCTGTTTATGGAAGAACAATGTTGATTCTAATGAAAATAGCAAAAAAAAAAAAAAAAAAAAAAAGTCCTTGCAGGGCTGTGGCATTTGTGCTGTTTGTGTGTTTGTGTCCCTGCCATGCCTTCCAGAAAGCCAAAACCATACAGGAGGAACACACTAAATAGCCCCCTGTTTAGTTTGGTCTGGTCACATCAGTATATGCTGTAGAACCATACAAACACCACAAACATGCCAGAGCAATTCTCTGCTCTTCTCTGCCTTTTTCCTTCCAGCCTTACACTTTGAGGAATCACTGCATTTTATTTAGAGCTCCTTCTCTGAGTTATTATGTACCTGTCAGTTTGAATTCTTAGCACATCCAGAATTCAGAAATGTAAAAGGCTATTTCAATGGAATAACATGTTATGGCACTGCAAAAGAAACCCAAGTCCTAAAAATAAGACAGAAACATCAGCTTTACAAAGCATAACATTTTCTGTGTATTTTCTTTTTTTTTCAAAGCAAACTGAGGTCATTACATGTACCATGTCCAAACAGCAACTTCAAATTCGTTCCCTCAAACCACTGAGTCCCGATAGTGACTAAACACAGGAAAATATCAGGGTTTTGGTAAATAATGCATAAAACAGTACAGATAAAAGTTGGGATCTGTTCTGTAGCATCCTAGGACAGCAGTGGCTCATGACTTCACTCTGCCTTGGACAGAGTGGGCAGTTGCAAGCGAGCACACCTCCCTGAGCAATAATAGGAGTAGCTGTGCTGATGCTCTGTCATCCTGCCTTACTCGCTGCTCAGAATATCAATTCAGCCAGTTAAACCAAAAGTCTGCACTGCACCAAAATGGAAGCTATTTAAAAAAAAAAAAAAAAAAAAAAAAGAGCTAGGACCATTGATCAGGAGTTTTATCTATGCTGATCAATATTTTTTTAATGAAGTAAAATGTAAATTTGGACTAGGATCAATGCAGATTTTTCTCATGTGAGACTGCCTTTATCATTAGGAAGCTACAGGCAATTACATGCATGCCAGGACAGTAGATGCAGTGACTTTGGGTTATATTAAGCAGAGAGACGTGTCCCCTTTTCCTTAGCAAGCCTCCAGTACAAGCTGCAGCTGTAAGGAGTGTGCAGTGCAGCTCAAACTGAATTCTAACATTGAACAGAACAGCAACAGAGCAAAAAAAGTGGTCTATTTAAATATGTCATGCTTAGGTCCCAGACCCATAAATGTTGGTGACCTCAACTGCTCTGTCAGAAAAGCAAGAAGACACTGAAATAATCTGCAATTATCTGGCTACTGAAATTCTTTTTTTTTGGTACAAATTTTAAAGACAATTTGAAAAGCAGTAAGAGGTTGATTGACACCGTATCAAAATACATTAGAGATGATTTTTTTTTACACTGTCTTTCCTGAAAGAAGAGAGGAATAGTTTAAAGAAATGAAATGCAGCATAAAAACTTCTTCCATACATTTGGCTGTTGCCAGCTTGAGGAGTGCTGTTCTCAAAGACTGTGTGTCACTACAGAAACTTCAGACCTGATACAGAACCATACTGCATATACCAGAAAATACTCTAATTCTTATTTTTGGTTAACAGAATAGATGAGGGAATAAGAAAAGGAGAAAAATCATTTAAAAAAAAAGTTCAAAAGGAAAAGAAAATCATAGTTCGAACATATATACAAAATCCACCCAGTTTTTCACATGGATATTCCCAGTGTTTATTTAACATAGGCCTCTGGTTCTAACTCCATCCCAACGCTGCCATCCTGCAGCAGCAGGAGGCCAACCACTAAAGCTGAGCTCAATCCCAGAGGATGCACTTTCTGGAGTAGGAATTGAGCTCCTAAGTTCTGGAGCACACTGGAGGCTGGCCCTGTTTGTGAACCAAGGAGCTGGGAATGAAGAGGAACGTTGTGTGTGTCCCTGCTTAGAGCTGCTAAGTGCAAACTCCTCAGAAATGCTCCAAACCCTTTGTGCTGCTGAGCACCACAGAATGGCCCAGGATCCCAGAATGGGTCGGCCTGGAAGGGACCACAGAAGTCCAGCCTCTGGTCCAACCTCCCTCGAGCAGGGCCATCCTAGAGAACACCAGCACTGCTGCAATAAATACCAGGAACTTCTCCAGTTCCTGCAACAAGGATGAGGTTCCAGCTGCAGGGCTTGGCCCGTGCTCCCTACCCTCAAAGTTACAAGACCACTATCCCAGGGAATACCTGCTATGCAGATAGATACAGCAGGACCTCACAACCAAAGCTAAAAATAGCAATTCCACCCCCAAAAATGGACCATCCAGCAAATAATACCAATAGTAACATTCTGAGCTCAGAACTTAGAGTTGGGTTTTTTTATTCATTATTATTTTTGCAACACAACTGTGAAAAAAGTAACATTTTCCAATTCACTTGGCTTTCAGCAGGTGCAACTCAAAATGGCTGCAGTGGTGGCTGAAGCTTTTTCTGGATATTTCATCATCAGATTTAATAGCAAAGCACTGCAAAGCAACAAATCATCTGAACAGTGCCTGTCCTGAAATGAGGGGTTTGTCAGTGCATCTTCATGCCTATTAAAGCATCCAGCATCTTATTATTTAGCTTTGACAGAAGAACAATTTAACACCTTAACTTGGGGGCAAGGAGTGGAAATGGAGCAGAAAAGTGGAATGGAAAATAGAAAGATGCTCCTTGGGACTAAGTTTAAGAAACACAACAATGCTTACAGGATGTGAAAGGAATGAGACTTGAACTGTTGAGCTTGAACTGCAACTTGAAAGAATTACCTCTCCAGTAAAAGTTCAACTGACAGTTCATATTCAGAAGCAAAAGAAAGAGCCTACCTAATTTCTTTGGAGAAAAATTTAATCCTGTGTGTGCTGGTGATAGACATCATAAGCACATTTCAAGGTCTTTGATAATTAATGACAGGAAACGCAGGAACATAATTTTAATTCCTCTTTCAGGATCTTGGGGACCAAGACCTCCTTTTTGGTGAGGTTGTCCAATCAGAGGAATGGCACTGGAAAGCAGCAGCAGATTTCTAATATTTTCCTAATCACAACCCAGATACTTAAACTAGAACAGCAGACTGGCAGCCTTTCATATTTTTAAATCTCATTTGCTACATTTTAAAAACAAGAATTAAATCTGTTTTCAGCCTCGGTGTTTCTCGGGTTTGGTAACATCGTGCAGTAATATTTCTGCAAC